AAGTCTGGGTGCCCACACCATGCACCAAGAGAGAGCAGGGTGGCACACCCTTGGAGACAAAACCACAGCCTTCTATAGTATTTTTAAAAAGGCAGATCTTAGTACCATTATAATGAAGATGAGTGTTACAGCCAGTAAAAGAAACTTTAGCAGAATACATTATTTCCCACCCTTGTTTGCTTACATTAACTCTATTCCCCGCCCTTGTTTGCTTACATTAATTTAAAGGAGTTCTGATTTCAAGTTTTCTGGGCAGCCATGAACCTTACATTGCTCTGATTTCAAGTTTTCTGGGCAGCCATGAACCTTACATTGCTCTGATTTCAAGTTTTCTGGGCAGCCATGAACCTTACATTGCTTGTTAGTATTGAAGCTTGGCTATAGAGAACTCTGCGCATACTCTAAAGCTATGAAGTTAATATTGCCAATTTAAATATTGCTTCATTGCCATTTTAGATATTGATCCCTTCAGCAAGAAAAACTATTAACAGTGCTGAATGGTGCTTGTATAAATCACAAGTTACTGAATTCATATTAAAAACTATGTGCTATGCTTTGAATGATTTAATATAATGAATGCACAAAAATGACACATATAGAGAAAGGGCAGATCCAGTTATTTATAGTTTGATATAAATGGATGGATGACCACAAGGTGGTAGCAAACTGCTACATGTTGCTTTTTATTGTTTTAAAGGAGACATGCTTTTAGCTTGATAGCCTTTAAAGCATGTTTAATGGCTTAAACATCAAAGCCTCTATCTGGAATTTTGTTGGAATTTTTCCCCCCATGAACATGCTTTATCTGCTGAATATAGATTAAGTCACTATTCTTTATATTTCTTCCAAAAAAATGCAAAGTCCATAGCCAGGCAATAGCTTTAACAAAGTAAGAATTTTAATCTTGTAGGAAAAAAGCAAGGCTTACTACATCTCAATGTGAAAAACCTCAACACAATCTGTACATTACTGCTTGTATTTTACACAGAAGCACACAGCTCATTGTCTTTACTCAAAGCAATTAGAATGGCATTTACTTTACTTTACTTATTTATTTATACATTCGATTTATTGTCCGCCCATCTCCCCCCAATGGGGAACTCTGGGTGGCTCACAAA